ATGCTCTACCCCAGCTGCAGCAGAGCAATGAGATGTGGAGCAGTTTTCCTGAGCTTTATTATCATAAAAATCCCACTAAATCCTTTTTTCTTTTTTTTTTCTTTTTTATATATCGGGTAAATCATAGCACTACACACGTACTGTCTGTTAATGCTCTGAACTAGGATTTGTAAGATTAGTTTTAAATATTTTAAGCTCTTATAACAAATGACAGTTATATGAAATTCTGATTGGCCAGAATCCTGCAGTCGGTGTACCACTAACATCCACCTTTCAAGCTGATCGGCCTGCTGGTTTGCTCTCCTTCAACTAGCCAGCCAAGTCTTCCTCATTCTACCTCTCTTTGCTTCTGGTTTCAGTGAGTACGCTCCCTCTTAGGGTTTCTTCCAGAAACAGTTTGGCTCTTTGCCAAGGAATGTCACCGGACCGGACAGTGCTGCGTTGCTCTGGGATGTAACCAGGCACTGTGATATTTAGAACAAACCTTTCTGTGGATTTTAACATCTTGCCATCAAAACCAAACACTGATTTAGGTAGAAACCAGGAGGTTTTCCCTACAGCTGCTAAAATTGTTATTTTTTTATATATTCATTTATTTATGAAGTTATTTAATGAATCTCAGAGATTTGGACTTTGATACGAGGTTAGTGAATAACTACCTGACTGAGGCTTATGAATAACTTTATTTATTTATATGTTAAAAAATGTGGTCAATGTTCAGAAGAATGTACCATTGTTTTACCCTTCTGCTATTTTCAGACCAATACTGTGAAAAAACAAGCTGACTAATTAATAAAGCCGTAGGGTCATGTTTCCAGCCCCCTGCCTTTCAGCAGCGCTGCCCAGCAGAGCATGTGAATGGAGCAGAGTGCAACTCCTTCTCATGTCCACTCATTCGCTTCGCAGCTTAAAGCTGCACCAGGACGCTCAGCTCAAAATCTGCTCTGCGCTCACGTTCATTTTCCTGTCGCTTCGGCGATATCGCTCCACGCTCGCACAAATTTTCAGGAGAAGGCGTTTTTCCTTTATGTAATTATGCCAGGGCCCTGGGACACTCAGCGTTTTGATTTAATGATGTGACAGAGCTGTGAACGTAAATCCTCGTTCCATTCATGTTGCCCCGCCTTTCCTATTTAATTTTGAATTTATTTTACTAGACTTAAATCCAATAAAAGTTATTGTTCAAATTTTATAATCCAACATTTGTAATTGACGTGAGCGCATCGGAAGAAAACTGGCGCAGAGCGAAGTCCTTGCTCCGGCCTTTGAATTGAAAACCGCTCTGCGCTCCACCATATTTCTTCCTCTCCGCTCCACAGCTCTCTCCGCGCTCCGCTCGCATGCTCTGCTGTCCAGCTGTGTTTTTAAAACTACCTCAAAAGGATTCAAATTTATCTTCCTGGTGGCTTTGCAATAGGGAAGGATCCCCTTTGCAGCCAGCAAACCAGCAGTGCACAGCAACACTGGCAAAAATAAAAAATGAGTAACTCAATTTTTCTCAAAAGAAATTTGGGGGGGAGGAGGTAATTTGTAAGAAGTGTTGCCAAACCATAGCTGCGAAAGGTACCGGAACAAATTTATTCCACCACCTAAAAAGTCATCCACTGCAAAATAAGGAATGTTGTAAATCCGGCATGTCTGCGTTTCCATACAAAAAAATAAAACGTTAAATAAATCAGCTGTGAAGCCGATGACATTGGCCTCGTCGTTAGAAAAAGCAATCCCATATGAGAGAAACAGGAAGAGATGGAGGGAAATCACTGACTCCATTTATTATGTTATTTAAAAGATTTTTAGATGCTCGAATACCTGTGATGTGGTGTTGTTTAAAGGTTTTGCAGGCTCTCTCTAAACTTGGCAATGTTCTCAATTTTACAACTTTTTGTACACATATAAAACAATGCACATAGTTTTGAGATGCTCTGATAATGCTCCAAGTTTTTGTCAGTGTTTTTCCTTCTTTTTTTTGTAATTTGAGGTCAAATAATTTTTTTCAGTATGCATTGAATGTTACAGATGCAGCCTTGCTCTAATACAGCTAATTAAAATGACTGAGCTCCACAGCACTGGTTCTGCTGGCCTAATAAAGACCTGGTTTATAACTCAGTGGTGTTGAAATAAGGGCTGAACTATTAACGTATTTTTTTGGACTACAAGCCCCAACTTTTCCTCCACGCTTTTTCTTAAACTACCGGAGGGGGAAGTCAAAGTTGTAAATGAAAGAATATGGGGCTAATTTTTAGTTAGGCTCTATAATCCAGAAAATACGGCAATGAAATTATCATCCACTAATTTAGTAATTAATTAATAATTTCCTGGAGTAAAGAGACTCTAAAACATGCCTTTACCTGACCTACCAAGTAACCACTCAAAAATTGTGAAAAAATGTATAAATGTTTTTCATTTAAGATAAAAAAAATAAATAACTTTTTCTCCTTTCAATATGCTTTATCCAGAACTGAGAGTCAAAAGTTTTAGTTTCACCTGATTCAACACCCTTGTTTATAGATGTTGGAGCTCAGCCTGTTTTCCAGTGTAGTCCTGTTTCTCTGACTGTGACTGGCTGGATGTGCTCTCTTCATTCTCTAACATGGGAGCTGGCTCGGAGCTCGTCTGCCTGGCTGTGTGTTTCCTGGACGGGTCCGCCGTTATCAGTTGCTTTTTGTATCTCTTCTGTCTCCTTGAGCCCCAGTCGGTCTCAGCAGATGGCCGCTCACACTGAGCCTGGTTCTGCTGGAGGTTCCTTCCTGTTAAAAGGGAGTTTTTCCTCTCCATTGTCGCTACAAGCATGCTTAGTGTGAGGGATTGCATCCGAGTCAATGAGTCGATGCAATCAACTGGTTTTCCTTAGATAGAAAACTTTGAATCAATTTGACTGTATGATCTGGTGAANGCCTGTTTTCCAGTGTAGTCCTGTTTCTCTGACTGTGACTGGCTGGATGTGCTCTCTTCATTCTTTAACATGGGAGCTGGCTCATAGCTCGTCTGCCTGGCTGTGTGTTTCCTGGACGGGTCCGCCGTTATCAGTTGCTTTTTGTATCTCTACTTCTGTCTCCTTGAGCCCCAGTCGGTCTCAGCAGATAGCCACTCACACTGAGCCTGGTTCTGCTGGAGGTTCCTTCCTGTTAAAAGGGAGTTTTTCCTCTCCACTGTCGCTACAAGCATGCTTAGTGTGAGGGATTGCATCCGAGTCAATGAGTCGATGCAATGAACTGGTTTTCCTTGGATAGAAAACTTTGAATCAATTTGAGTGGGTGATCTGGTGAACTGTAAAGTGCCTTGAGATGACGTGCTGTGAATTGGTGCTATAAAAATAAACAGAATTTAATTCAGTTGATTTAATTCTGCATACAAGCTTCTTTAAGGAGCCTTTCGCTATTCGATTATTAATGGATTCATCTAAAAAATGATCGACAGATTAATCGATTATCAAAATAATAGTCAGTCGCAGCCCTAGTTGAAACATGCAAGCAACTTATAAATGTGGGGCGGGGGACCCCATCGTCTGACCTTTGACATCGTCTGCCTCAACTGTTTAAAGGAAGCCAAACAGGATGCTTTACATACTTCAGCAACTTTGTACAAAAACTGGACAGTTTAAAGCAGATTCCACTGTTGTGATTTGGCAAGAATTTAGCAATGCGATATGTATTGCAATACATGAGTAATCATAAAATGTACCTGATATATTCAGATACATTAACAAAGATATATTCAGATTTTTATAATAATGTAGCTCTAAAATAATAAAACCCAAAGACGGCTCATTGTTGCTCTGCAGCCGGTGGTACGCTTTAGAGAAAGATGATACATCCGCCAGCCGATGTTTTTCGCTGATAGCATTTTTTCCATTGCTGCTCTCTAATTAGCTATCATTATTAACGTTATGTGTAATTTGTTAATAAATGTTTCATTTTGTTTAAATAGGCACATTTGTAACATTTGTTATCATTGTCATTTTTATTGTGCAATTAGAGGAAGAAATAAACAACATTTGGCCTGAAGATATCAGCTAAGACCGGTTTCAAAATAATAATTTATCTCTAATACGCTGCCAACCAATGGCTGGGGGGGTTCAGGTGTTATATAAAAGCAAATCATGAAAAGTATGTTTGCCTATTTATATATTTTATGTCAAAGAGCCATTTGTCAGTATTTTGAATTCATAGCAATATTGTCTAATGAAAACAGAACGTTTTTTTTTTTTTTCATTTTAACACACATAGCGGCAGAAGAAAATAAGCCTTACTTGGGGATTTATTGATTTTTATCAATTAATTTTTTTTTGGGTTTTTTTTGTGTATGAAGATTCAATTTTTGGAAAATCAGGATTTTTTTTAACCAGTCCCCTCCTTTGGCTTCCGTAGCTCAGGGTGACATCAGTTGATCACCTTTTTTGTTCTTAAATGTTTTCTGAAATGAGGATCCAGCTGACTGTGTGGAACCCACCGACAGTTTGTTTTACTTTCATTGTTTGCTGTGAAATCTGGTTGTTTTACCAGAACGTTTCACAGCTTTAAAGTTGCTGCCCTTTAGATTAAACTCCCCTCCCAGACGTGATCAGTGAAGGTAGTTTTTTCAAAGGAATGTTTTTCATTTGTCATTTTTATTATCAAACTTAAGTAAAAAGAAAAAAAAGATATATTGGATTTGGTAGGGAATAATCAGCGATTTGATTTTAATCTATACCTCCCTGGCTTAAGTCCTACAGCCCAAAAATTGGCAAATGTTTCATGATTTTATTCGATCAAATAGATACTTTTAAAATACCTGATCAATTACTCAGTATGTTCTGATTGTAATTCTGTAATGAAAATAAAAAGTAAAACGATGGCCCCAATATTCTTTTCTATTTGTGCCTTTTTAAATACTTTTTAGAAAGCAGAAGAAGGGTCTGTTGCTTTGACTTAGCTGTATTAAGTCTACTAGTAGTGACTGTTTTTCTGTGGCTTGTTTTGCAGAAATGTGATTTCAATATGGATAACCTGAGCAAGCCGGAGCTGCTCACACTGCTCAGCATCATGGAAGGAGAGCTGGAGGCCCGGGATCTGGTCATCGAAGCACTGAGGGTGAGTTTGAATCATCAGTCATTTGCAACAGTTTGACCCTGGATCTGTGTTCATTTCATCATCATGAAGAACTTTAAAGGGTCCCAAGAGAAAACCACAGCTTGATAGCTTTATCTCAGATATTTGCAGAATGCTTGTTTTAACAGCCAACATAAGATTATTTCATTCTAGTTATTTTTATTTATTTTTTTTTGTTCATTGATTGATTTTACAAAGCTGCCAGCATGGAAATTAGAAAAAGTTATAAACAGCAGCAAAATGTTCTTTATACTTTATAAATGAATAAAATGACTTGCTTTATCAGGGTTTAGAACATAGTTATAAACCGGCTCATTCTCATTTTCCCAAACTGTCCAACTTCTTTTGATTTGCCACATCCCAGTCACAGAGACCCTTCATCAGAGAAATGATCTGCTGCTGGAATACAGAGATACGGAGCCCCTAAAGGGACATGGAGGGAAAAAAAGAACTTTTGCGAGATCTTGCAAAAGTATTGCGGGATCTTGCAAAAGTTCTTTCTTCCCTCCATGTCCCTTTAGGGACTCCGTAGGATTACATGCTGACCTTGTCTCTCTTCGTTCATGTAATGTCGTCTTTTGGGACTTCTCTAGATATACATATTCACCATTTTCCTGCTTATTCAAATGAGGACCAGTTATCTGTCCACAATAGATTCGATATGTCTTCTTAATGCTTGTTTAAAAAGTATGTTTTTTTTTTTTTTTGTCTCCGTGCGGACAGAGCATTGGAGCCGCCCCCAGCTCTGTCTTTAAGTTCTGGAAGGAAACGGATATTTGAATGTCTTTTTGCAGCTATTCTGTACTTTGCTAAATTGTAATGAAGAAAAATAATAAGAGGTTTGAGATGTTTGTTCAACTAGTTGAATTAAGTAGAAGGAAAATTAAGGAGAATTACTAAGAATTTCTAGCAGTATCCTGTTGCCTTCAAACTATTCCAACCTCACTGTCCTCTCTGCGTGAAGCATGCTGCTGAGGGCAGGCAGGATGTACAGTGGGTGATGTATTGATCCGTGGTTACAAAATACTGGACCTGTCTCTCCTCAGTGCTGGAGGATTTGTTTTTTTTCCATCTAAATTGAGAAGGAGGTGAGATATTTCTGACTAGTCCCTTGCAGGACCTTCTGTATTTAGGTCTCAGTTTGCCTCTGCTCTACTGAAGGCTTGTCCTCCTTTTCCGTGTCAGTCTGCAGCCACCCAGGTTTCTGTTGGGCTTTCTTTTTTCCTTCAGCCAGCTTTTTATTGATTTATTGACTTTATTAATCTCTCAGATGAGAAATTCACATCTCACATTGGCTCAAAGAAGGGGCCAAAAGGCGGGAAAGGTGCTGGGGTGGATATATACAGTTAATGCAGTATGTCCACATATATATATTCAGCTCTCTTCTCTTAGAAATGCCTCTCTGCCTCACCGCTCAGTGGCATAAGCTACGGAAAGCCCTTTGAATCATTACTGAACTTCCTTCCCCTAAAGGTCTATCTGGTTCCCCCATGTCACTTTCTTTTAGTTGTATAGTTTGACATCTCGTCTGCAGTAATTGCATGTCTTTTTTGGTAAGTTGTCCCTTTTTTACCAGCAGTTCACATAACTCTTTCTGTGGACGGATAACCTACATCCATTCTGTAAAAATGATCCATCTCTGCTGCTCCGGCAGAGCTTACAAGGCACAATGACTCTATTTATTCAGTCACAGATGGATCCGTTTGCAAAAGAGAGAGTGAGAGAGATGGAAAAGTGGGGGGAGGAACAAATTTATAAAGTAAGTGGGTTAGAGAAGGTTGAAGCGTGAGCTGTCAGCTCCATTTTGGACCAAGACGAAAAGGAAGACGGTGAAGATGGAGGCAGACAAAGCAGTGCAGCGTGAGAGAGTGGATTAAGCCACCCCCCCATCCCATCATGTTTCAGCTTTTTCCCCAACGACCCTAAAAGTATCATCTGGCCACCAGCTGCCCGGCTATAGGTGCTATTGAAAACTCTGGGACGGTTTGCTAATGTTGCCACAGATTCAGCCAAACGGACGGCTTGATCGCCGTATCTAAGCTTGTTCTGTTTTCCTGTTCCCAATGCCAGCCTCTTTCCTTATGGAGGGAATTTTGCTCCATTATTGTTGCAAAGATTTGAACATGGAAATAAAAAAAATAATTAAAAAATGTTTTAACCAAAACAATGTTTTGCTCTTTTCTCTGATTTTGTTTTGAATAATTAGTTTATTTTTAAATATTTATTGATTTCTAACATTTTTATTCTTTAAAACTTTTTTTTTTTCTTCAAATTTTTTTATCCCACATTTAATTTTTTCTTATCTAGTTTTTTGAATCGCATTGTTTTAAAAAATATGTCTTGCAAATCTAATTTTCCTCACCTCATGCGATACAAAGTGAGGAAATCCACTCCCAGAAGTGAAGAAAATCTTTATCTGGAAAATGCTATTTAAAAAAAAAAAAAGAATGCAATTTTTAAAACAAAATATATATATATAATTAGACAAAAATAATAAAATTAAAAAATATAACATCTGTAAATCAATTTAGAAAAAACAAAGTACTTTCAAAACATTTTTTAATGAAGACGTTTCATTTCTATATTCTGTATTTTTTACTAATTTCCATTCAAACAAATGTGTTCTCTGCTTTTAGCAATAATGGAACAAAATTCCTTTCATGTTTCTTTCTCCCTTTCCGGTAACCTGGACACCACTTCCCGCCATGACCGGTCCACAGCAGCTGTTTGTGGCGTCTTTGAAAGGCTCTCAGTGAACACATTAATTAGCCTGTTACCGTATCAGGCTTCCTTCTGGGGAACAAAAGCCAAAGAGGCTGTAAGACAAGCTGCAAAACACGAAAGGTATCACATGACAAGCTGCAACAACGAATTCATCCAGATTATAAACCTGTGTTCCTGCAAAGTTGATAAAACCATGCAGACGGTAATTATAATATCAACAGCTAATGTCTAGTGATGGTTTTATCTTTTTTAACCAACCGTTAACTTAAGCATTTGAGGATAGTGACGCCTGCTTGGTGTTTCCTGCAGCTACCAACAACACAGCAAGCCTTCCTCGGAGGGTCATGCCTTGTAACATATGACTTAAATTTAGCTGTCAGCACAACATCTATGCATGTTAAATGCAACACAACACATGCTGGGAGCTATCAGGCTTTCTCCAGAGTCACGTTATGTCCTGGTGTCTAGCTATTTAAGGCATGCCTTGTTGCTGGGCTTTTCCAGCTTCCCTCTCTCTGTGCAGACAGACACTGATGCTTCCTTCTCTCTCAGCCCTTCTTCATCCCCCGTTTGTTGTATTGTTTGAAGTTTATACCTCTTGCTGTGTCGCTCGGCGGTTGGTTTGATTTCTGCAAATAAGAGTCCGTCCTTTAGTTTCAAACCACTTTTATTCTTCTAAACTCATCGGGATCTGTGATAGCGGCTTTTTTATAAGATATTCTGTCCAGAGTTGGGGGCTTAGGACTGAGTCCTGTCTGTTCTACCTGTTCCTCCATGCTCAAATAAGCCAATCAGCATCCCGCTCTGATCATCTGGGTGCCTAGCAACCAGAACCCTTTGCCCCCCCCTTCCGTCTCAACTCTCCAGCCCAGACCTTTCCTCATAATCTCTGCGGCTCATGTTTCACAGCCAGCCAGCCATCCACCCGACAGGCTGAAGACACTCATCACAGCCATGCTCTGGTTTTGGTGTCGAGTAGAACAGCTCCATAGCTGAGTCCATTCAGTTTTTAGGGGTTTCTGTGCGTGGATGTGTGTGTTTGCGCAGAAACGGTCAGTTAAGAAGATGGACAGGGGGGGTTGAGTTATCAGAGTGTGTGGATAATGTATCTAGGGCAGTGACTGAGGATTATTTAAATCATTACCCTATATATTCTCTGAATTAATACACTGAGAACAGCTGACTATCATATGACAGTTTTATTGGTTAACGCATAAATTGCTCTAAAATTTAGCTTTTTTGATCTACATAGTACATCATTCTCTATAAGAGCTGTTTTTCCTCATTATTAGATAAATACTTTAGTGATTTTCTCTTTTTTTATGAAGCGTTTCTCATTGATTTGAATTTCAGAAGAGCCTGATCTTCAGGTTTGCGAGTTATAACGCCGGTGCGCTTGTACACAGAGATCAGATTAACAAAGAGGGTGCAGATTGATTTACTTTTGCATTTCAGCAGACAGCGTGTGTAAATGTTGTTTGACATGTTTCCCTTCATTGAAATGCAGACCATATTCTAATGATTAAAAGGCACTAATTCATGGGTGGAAGATATGCAAATGTTAAAATTTTAAGAAGACTTTCCAAATCTGAAATCTGATTTAGTTCTTTTGAAAGTTGGGTGCAAACTGACATGCAAATATTTCTGCGATCATTGATTGCGATCATGATAGATGAAGAAAGATTATGCATATTAATAGTGAAAAAACTTCTACACAGGATCATACAAATTAATGAAGTGGAGCAGCAGACAATCGATATACAATTAAACCAAAATGAAGAAAATATATTTTTTTATGAATTAACAGTCAAAGACAACCTTCTCATGTTCTTCATTTATTAATTTTTTTACTCAACACCTGCCGACGTGTGGGATGTTTGTGTCAAAATAATTCAGTCAAAAAAGAAAAAGCTCTTCAAAGGTTTATTCATTAAAAGCAAAACAAAATTCAAATTAATACATTTTTTTTGTTACACAAAAAAATATTACTTCAATCAAAGAAGAAAATTTGTTTTTCAATTATTGAAAAACAACATATTTTTTGAATAAATTATAAATACACAGATGTCCTACGTATTGTATTTTTCAAACACAAAACATTACTTCAATCTAAAAAAAGTTGCTTCAAAAGCAAAAAGTTTTATCAAAGAAAACATTGTAAATTAAGGAAAAACCATGTTCAATTGTATTTTTTTTGCATGATCATACATTCTTTTAGTGAACTCAAGTTTTTTTAATTGAAAATATACTTTTTGTTT